TCCAACATTTTCCATTCTAGTTGTGTGATTCCCACTTAGGACTCCCCACTGCATTGCTCCCAAGTCTATCTTAGGTGACTTTCATAGCTGACCTCCCTGCTCTGCTTGTCCTCCCCCTCACTGCAGACACGGAGAGGTCTGTGGCACTGCTGACACAGCGAGAGCATCATGTACCTGTCTGGGTGGCCTAAAAAATCCTGCTGCTCTGTTTGCTATCGCTGTACCTGAGGCTGTGATACAAAATCACATCCACAAAGAGCAACTGGTACAGAGAACCACGCATTTCACAAGGCCCTGCCACCCAGCTCTCAACTGGGACCTACATTCACCTCTCAAACCTGGGGACTCTCTTCAGAGAAGCAGCAGCTTGGGGAGAAGCAGCAGATGGGAGCGGGGAGGACGGGAGTGTCCATCCTTCTGTCCTTCACAACCACGTTATCATCTCACAACCACTTTATCACCAGCCACTTCCCTGCCTGTGCAAAATCTGCTGGCTGCTGCACAGAGAGGAGAAGCCAAAAATACCAGAATTACTCCTGAGAGCTCACATCGCACACAGGAACACTGAGCCACATGGGGCTTGTCCCACCTACTGCAACCCAGCCACGGAAAGGAGGAAAATGGGGAGGTAAGGACACGTCAGCTCTTCAAACAGGAGGATGCTGAGATCTCTGCTTGGACACCCAAGCACGCAGATGCCTGCAGAGCTTTCCACAGCCTCTCTCATCATCAGTGCCATTAACAGTGTGGCAAGGTGATGCTCATTCAGGCTGCTACCTATGAGAACACTTAGACTGACTCCTGCAGACGTGAAGAAATAAAAGAGAAGAAATGGCTTGGTGCAAGAGCTGGAAACGAGCACTGAATGGGACACATAGGAAGCAGCACAAAGATGGAGTCAAGGGGGGAGCACAGGATATGGGATAGATACAGGAAGGGGGAAAAGGGAAGTTTATACAACCCCATGCACCAGCCTGGCTTTGAGGAGTGTGTCAGCTGCCTGAAGCAGAAAAGCACTGCTCCCAACCAGAGCCCAGCTCCCCTCAAACCAGTCCTGCACAGCTCACTCCAGTTCCTCAGGTTTCCTGGCTCAAAGTTTAGCTGAGCACCTCGCAACACCCCTGCAGCCTGCCAGGCCCTGGGCTAAGCCACTAAAATAAACTGACCATACGTGTGGTGCAGACAGACGCACTTCTTACCATGAAGTAAGACGAGCAAATCATACAAAACTCACTGCTCAATTTGTAAGAATTTCTGGGTTTGTTTCCATTCTTATGTGTGCTTTAAATGTTGAGGTTCAGACTGAAACAGCTTCAGAAGGATGAGTGTGATGTGAGCTGGTACCAGGAGATGGCAGGGAGAACCTGGGAGCTGTCACAGCAGCAATGGGTCAGTATTTAGCAGCACTTCAGACAGATCTGAAGTCTTGGACTGCTGAATGCAGCCACTCTTTGTGTGTGTGCGCTTCTTGGCAGTGGTTCCTGCAATCCCTTCTCCATTACACAGGTTCACTACAGAACTGAACAAGAGGAGGTTTGCAGCCAGGAGGTTTTACAGTGCAGCTTTCCTGGCTTTAGGGACAAGCTGTTTGATACGATGGAAGGTAATTCTGTCCTTCCTCTGTAGGCTATACAGAACTAGAGAGGAATAAAAAAGGAATAATCTAAGGCTGCTGCCTTCAAAGGGCCCCAGAGGAGTCAGGAACCCAAACGTTATACTGGCATTTAAAGATGTGCCCTTAAAGGCTTTGAAACCCTTCAGCAAACCACTTGTACTACCCACAGAAGGCAAGGCATGAGGAGCAGACCTGCCGAGAGGCAAGTGGCCACATTCAGAGCAGCAAGTCAGGTTAGTAACTCTTGGCATCAGTGAACTACGCTGTTGGTGCCACGTCTGACAGCCTGGTCAGGGTGACTGCAGACCCAGCCAGCCCCGAAGGGCTCCTGACCACTGCCACCCGAGTGGAACAGGACTAAAGAGTACAAGGGCCTGAAACACAGAGACAAGCTCACCTGATGGATTCTGCTTACATCTCTTTTCTTTAGGTTTTTCTGTCCCCGAATGAACAGCTGTAATTGTGGTGAATCCTTGGATTAGTATAGAATTGTTCCCCAGAACAAAACAGGCAGTATTTTATTAACAAACAACTTTTTTCCCATGCACTATCATCACTGTATGTTGGTTTTCCAACACCACTTCATTTCTTTTCAATGTGGTTCCAGAAAACCCCCTATTTGCTTCAGAGGCAGACATAAACCCCCACAACAGATGCGGTGTAACCTGCTCCAGGTAGAAATCCCTTCCCTTACCTGTCCATTCCAGCTACCAGTTTAGTGAACACCACATGTTTTTGAATGGGGAATGAAGGGAGGCCAGGTTTTCTGCTGGCATCTTATTTACCTCTACACTGAGATGCTGAAATTACATTTCATCTGGTCTGTCTGTTATGCTCCAATTAGCGAACATAAAAGAATTGTAGTGTCCCACTTGAAGGCAGGGGGATACACAGATAGGATAAAAATCTTGTGAAGAAAACTCTATCAAGGGTGTACCTAAACAAAACTGTCTAGGCCAGTGGTTTTGTTTAGTTACCACCACATGGACTTCAAACTCAAGGGCAATTCCAGAATGGAGTCAATTTTAATTCCTACTAGCATACGCATTCTGGTTCCACATCTACACCTCTGGTATGTGGTGACGTCCACACAGCAGACTCATGAGCAGCTGGACCCTGGTGACAGTGACATGCAAATAAACCACCACATTTAACATCGCTGTGATACACAAACTGCTGTTCTACTTGTAGTGCTCAGACTTCTCTTGTTGCAAATGGCTTTGCTTCACAAGGACTTCACTGATGCACAGACAAAGAACAAGCAATGCTTTATCTCCATCCATACTCCCCTTTCTCTACGTCTTTGCTCCCCATTGAAAAAGCTGTGCTAAAGCACGTGGACCTTGGGAGCAGGATCCCCACATCATTATTTTTTACAGGCTCTGGAGTGCCAGGAACCCGGAGAGGAGTGAGAAGAGGGCACAACCCCTTGCTGACCGCAAGCTGAAAGGAGGTACCCCAAACATATAAACAGTCACAGCTGAATCCTGCTCTGCAGAGGGATGTGGCAAGCAACAGCAGGAGGAGTGAACACACTTACCGCTGGAGTTCTGAGAATTGCTGTTGGTTTCTTCAAAGTTGTTTTGCGCTTTGCCTTCCACTCTCCTGCTG